CTTTAGCAAAGCTTTTGATACAGTGCCACATGAAAGACTGATTAAAAAAATAGTCTCATGGTATTGGGGGTGCTATATTAAGCTGGATTAGGGCATGGCTATACCAAAGGAAACAGAGAGTTAGTATAAATGGAATCAAGTCAGAGTGGGAAAATATTGTAAGTGGAGTGCCTCAAGGCTCTGTCCTGGGACCTCTGTTGTTTATAATATATATAAATGATTTAGATTCAGGTCTGAGTAGCAACATTTGCAAATTTGCCGATGATACGAAAATCGGTAGGGAAATTAATTCGGAGGAGGACTCACTATCACTTCAAGTTGATCTAGATAGGGTTTTGAAATGGTCAAAGGATTGGCAGATGCAGTTTAATGCTGATAAATGTAAAGTTCTGAGGTTAGGTAATGATGATAGAGATAGTGATGAAGAGATGAGTAGTATTTTTAATAAATATTTTGTATCTGTATTTACTAAAGAGGAACTTAACAATATGCCTTCAGCCGAACAAGTCTATGTGGGTGGGGACGAGGACAGGTTGACGAGTTTAGCAGTTACCAGGGAGGATGTTCTTAAACAAATAGTAAAACTCAAACCAAACAAATCCCCAGGGCCGGATGAAGTGTTTGCTAGGGTGCTTAAAGAATGCAAAGAGGAGCTTTGTGACCCACTGTCAACCATATTTAATAAATCAATAGAGTCAGGCAGAGTGCCAGAGTTTTGGAAAGTTGCTAATGTGATACCAGTTTTTAAGAAAGGAGATAGATCACTTGCGTCTAACTATCGACCAATTAGCCTAACGTCTATTGTGGGAAAGTTACTCGAATCTATAATAGCAAATAAAATTCGTCTTCATCTTGAAAAACATAAATTAATAATTGAGTCGCAACATGGTTTTATAAATGGCCGTTCATGTTTAACAAATTTGTTATCTTTTTATTCTAGCATTGTTGAGGCAGTTGATAGTGGTAAGGATTGCGATGTTGTATACCTTGACTTTAGCAAAGCTTTTGATACAGTGCCACATGAAAGACTGATTAAAAAAATAGAGTCTCATGGTATTGGGGGTGCTGTATTAAGCTGGATTAGGGCATGGCTATACCAAAGGAAACAGAGAGTTAGTATAAATGGAATCAAGTCAGAGTGGGAAAATGTTGTAAGTGGAGTGCCTCAAGGCTCTGTCCTGGGACCTCTGTTGTTTATAATATATATAAATGATTTAGATTCAGGTTTGAGTAGCAACATTTGCAAATTTGCCGATGATACGAAAATCGGTAGGGAAATTAATTCGGAGGAGGACTCACTATCACTTCAAGTTGATCTAGATAGGGTTTTGAAATGGTCAAAGGATTGGCAGATGCAGTTTAATGCTGATAAATGTAAAGTTCTGAGGTTAGGTAATGATGATAGAGTTACAAGATACGAGCTAGATGGTGTTGTGATTGCGAAGTCGGATTGCGAAAGGGATCTGGGAGTTATGATTAGTAAGAATTTAAAACAAAAGGATCAATGCATAAATGTTCGTAATAAGGCAAATCGGACACTTGGATTTATTAATCGCAGCGTTAGTAACAAGACACCTGGTGTGGTTCTCAAGCTATATCTTGCTCTAGTTAGGCCCCATTTAGATTATGCAGTTCAGTTTTGGTCGCCATATTATAGAATGGATATAAATTCACTTGAACGTGTCCAGCGTAGGATGACTAAGTTAATTCCCCAAATTAGAAATCTTTCATATGAAGAAAGATTAACAAAGCTTAAGTTGCATTCACTGGAAAGGCGAAGAGTTAGGGGTGACATGATAGAGGTTTACAAGTGGATGAATGGACATAACCGGGGGGATATTATTAGGGTATTAAAAGTATCAACACAGGACAGAACACGAAACAATGGATATAAATTGGATAAGTTTAGATTTAGGAAAGACTTGGGTAAATACTGGTTCAGTAACAGGGTTGTTGATTTGTGGAACCAATTGCCGCGTAACATTGTGGAGGTGGGGTCCCTCGATTGTTTCAAGCACGGGTTGGACAAGTATATGAGTGGGATTGGGTGGTTATAGAATAGGAGCTGCCTCGTATGGGCCAATAGGCCTTCTGCAGTTACCTTTGTTCTTATGTTCTTATGAGTTACAAGATACGAGCTAGATGGTGTTGTGATTGCGAAGTCGGATTGCGAAAGGGATCTGGGAGTTATGATTAGTAAGAATTTAAAACAAAAGGATCAATGCATAAATGTTCGTAATAAGGCAAATCGGACACTTGGATTTATTAATCACAGCGTTAGTAACAAGACACCTGGTGTGGTTCTCAAGCTATATCTTGCTCTAGTTAGGCCCCATTTAGATTATGCAGTTCAGTTTTGGTCGCCATATTATAGAATGGATATAAATTCACTTGAACGTGTCCAGCGTAGGATGACTAAGTTAATTCCCCAAATTAGAAATCTTTCATATGAAGAAAGATTAACAAAGCTTAAGTTGCATTCACTGGAAAGGCGAAGAGTTAGGGGCGACATGATAGAGGTTTACAAGTGGGTGAACGGACATAACAAGGGGGATATTAATAGGGTATTAAAAGTATCAACACAGGACAGAACACGAAACAATGGGTATAAATTGGATAAGTTTAGATTTAGGAAAGACTTGGGTAAATACTGGTTCAGTAACAGGGTTGTAGATTTGTGGAACCAATTGCCGCGTAACGTGGTGGAGGTGGGGTCCCTCGATTGTTTCAAGCGCGGGTTGGACAAGTATATGAGTGGGATTGGGTGGTTATAGAATAGGAGCTGCCTCGTATGGGCCAATAGGCCTTCTGCAGTTACCTTTGTTCTTATGTTCTTATGTTCTTAATATGTGTGTGTAAATCCCGAAAATTAACACGTGAAAAAATGTGAGTGTCAGACCACGGAGGAAGAATTGAAACAGGAATTTCCTTAAGTACTTTCGTATTTAATAAGACATCTTCAGAAGGATCCTTCTGAAGATGGGTCACTGAGGGACTGGGTGCTGTCAAGGGGTCACCTAGTGATTGGGGAGTGTCGAAGGCTCACTAGGGGATTGGGGAGTGTCGAAGGCTCACTAGGGGATTGGGGAGTGTCGAAGGCTCACTAGGGGATTGGGGAGTGTCGAAGGCTCACTAGGGGATTGGGGAGTGTCGAAGGCTCACTAGGGGATTGGGGAGTGTTGAAGGCTCACTAGGGGATTGGGGAGTGTCGAAGGCTCACTAGGGGATTGGGGAGTGTTGAAGGCTCACTAGGGGATTGGGGAGTGTCGAAGGCTCACTAGGAGATTGGGGAGTGTCGAAGGCTCACTAGGGGATTGGGGAGTGTCGAAGGCTCACTAGGAGATTGGGGAGTGTCGAAGGCTCACTAGGGGATTGGGGAGTGTCGAAGGCTCACTAGGAGATTGGGGAGTGTCGAAGGCTCACTAGGGGATTGGGGAGTGTTGAAGGCTCACTAGGGGATTGGGGAGTGTCGAAGGCTCACTAGGAGATTGGGGAGTGTTGAAGGCTCACTAGGAGATTGGGGAGTGTTGAAGGCTCACTAGGAGATTGGGGAGTGTCGAAGGCTCACTAGGGGATTGGGGAGTGTCGAAGGCTCACTAGGGGATTGGGGAGTGTCGAAGGCTCACTAGGAGATTGGGGAGTGTTGAAGGCTCACTAGGAGATTGGGGAGTGTCGAAGGCTCACTAGGGGATTGGGGAGTGTTGAAGGCTCACTAGGAGATTGGGGAGTGTCGAAGGCTCACTAGGAGATTGGGGAGTGTCGAAGGCTCACTAGGAGATTGGGGAGTGTCGAAGGCTCACTAGGAGATTGGGGAGTGTCGAAGGCTCACTAGGAGATTGGGGAGTGTCGAAGGCTCACTAGGAGATTGGGGAGTGTCGAAGGCTCACTAGGGGATTTGGTATTATCGAGGAATCACTTTGGGATTGGCGACTTTTTCGGAATCGGCAACAGATTGGACTGTCGATTGATTACTGAAGGATTAGCTTCTGCTTAGGGATGAGGAATTGGTAGTGGTGAAGGGGGATGGTGATTGGTGAGATTAGCAAGGTACGTACCAATAGTACTGGATGTGGATTCACCCATACGTCTATATATCATATGGAAGGGATATGAGGATAAGGATTTAGGATAGAGAGGAGGGAAGGAATGGTGCCCAACCACTCGGGGATTGGACGCCGACCTGCAATAAGCTCTACCGTCCAGCTCAAGTGATTGGGGGCGTTTACTAAAGTGAGACTGTAGTTGTCGTGTGTGGGGAAGGAATTTGAAAACGTTGTTTAAGATAGAGCTTTTTTAAGTTTTAAGATGCTGATTAGATTATGATTAAAAAGCTGAACTTTAAGATACTAAAGCTTTTGTCCTATTTTATGTTCCTTGGAGTAAATATTTAATTTATGATTTCAACTATTGCCCAAGAAGAGGCTATGAAACGTGTGTGTGTGTGTGTGTGTGTGTGTGTGTGTACTGTCCTAATTGTGCTTGCGGGGGTTGAGCTCTGGCTCTTTGGTCCCGCCTCTAAACTGTCAATCAACTGGTGTACAGATTCCTGAGCCTACTGGGCTCTATCATATCTACACTTGAAACTGTGTATGGAGTCAGCCTCCACCACATTACTTCCTAGTGCATTCCATTTGTCAACCACTCTGACACTAAAAAAATTCTTTCTAATATCTCTGTGGCTCGTTTGGGCGCTCAATTTCCACCTGTGTCCCCTAGTGTGTGTGCCCCTTGTGTTAAATAGCCTGTCTTTATCAACCCTGTCGATTCCCTTAAGAATCTTGAATGTGATCATGATGTCCCCCTTAACTCTTCTGTCTTCCAACGAAGTGAGGTTTAATTCCCGTGTGTGTGTGTGTGTGTGTGTGTGTGTGTGTGTGTGTGTGTGTGTGTGTGTGTTAACCTGGTATTAGCGTACTAGCCACAGAAGGGACGACGTAATTCACTTGGAGTGCCACTTGAGCAGCTGTCAAATGTACTATCCTTTGTCGTGACGTACTCACCGGGGGATTGGGCTGTACATCTAGCACAAGTAAAGCAGGCGAAGATGAGTGGCCACGTCAGTGCGTGCATGCCTAGCGGTCCACCAATCGTCGACCGGTATGCACCACCCAATCACACGTCCCGATTGGAAGGCAGCAAGTGACTGCGGCCAATGGGCGTCCCGGGAGAGGGGAAGAGCGTGGTAGGGGGCACGGGAGGCGAGAGAGGCCACAAGACCAGTGTATCTTCCACGCCTGCTGCCCGCCTTATAAACACGACTCGACGCCTCCGCACTGACCCGGGCTCCTGCTGCTGCTGCTGCTGCTCCTGCTCCACGCATGTCCTTCAGCTCCCTTATGTGACAGGTGAGGGGCAGCGGTGGCATGAGGGACGGAGGGAGGCAGGGATGGAGGGATGACAGTGTGTGTGTGACACACACTACACAGCTCTCAACACCTGCTCACACATATTACATATATGTTTCATCTTTTGTGTATATATATATATATATATATATATATATATTTTGACATGACTACATATATTGTTTCTGATATATGTAAATGATCTCCCGGTGATATAGATTCATTTCTGTCAATGTTTGCGTACGATGCCAAAATTATGAGAAGGATTAAGACAGAGGAGGACTGTTTGAGGCTTCAAGAAGACCTAGACAATCTGAAGGAATAGTCAGACAAATGGTTGTTAGAGTTTAACCCAAACAAATCTAATGTAATGAAGATAGGTGTAGGGAGCAGGAGGCCAGATACAAAGTATCATCTGGGAGATGAAATTCTTCAAGAGTCAGAGAAAGAAAAAGACTTGGGGGTTGATATCACGCCAGACCTGTCTCCTGCAGCCCATATCAGGAGGATAACATCAGCGGCATATGCCAGGCTGGCCAACATAAAACGGCATTTAGAAACTTGTGTAAGGAATCATTCAGAACTTTGTATATCACATGTCTCGTAGCCTGGTGGATAGCGCGCAGGACTCGTAATTCTGTGGCGCGGGTTCGATTCCCGCACGAGGCAGAAACAAATGGGCAAAGTTTCTTTCACTCTGAATGCCCCTGTTACCTAGCAGTAAATAGGTACCTGGGTGTTAGTCAGCTGTCACGGGCTGCTTCCTGGGGGTGGAGGCCTGGTCGAGGACCGGGCCGCGGGGACACTAAAAGCCCCGAAATCATCTCAAGATAACCTCAAGATGTCACGACAATCCTGGAGTATGCAGCCCCAGCATGGAGTCCATATCTAGTCAAGCATAAGACCAAACTGGAAAAGGTTCAACATGGTATAAATGATAGAATATGGGAATGGATAAAACTGTAGTTAAAACAAAACAAAAGATGGAGTTAATGTAAGTGAATGTGACTGGTGAGGTGTGAGGAGCAGGGTGCCACAAGGGGTGAGGTGTGAGGAGCAGGGTGCCACAAGGGGTGAGGTGTGAGGAGCAGGGTGCCACAAGGGGACATTTTGGGGCCAACCCTTTTAGTTATATACATCAATGACATATTGACCAGACCACACAGGTGGAAACTGAGTGCCCAAATGAGCCACAGAGATATTAGAAAGAACTTTTTTAGTGTCAGAGTGGTTGACAAATGGAATGCATTAGGAAGTGATGTGGTGGAGGCTGACTCCATACACAGTTTCAAGTGTAGATATGACAGAGCCCGATAGGCTCATGAATCTATACACCTGTTGATTGACGGTTGAGAGGCGGGACCAAAGAGCCAGAGCTCAACCCCCGCAAACACAACTAGGTGAGTACAACTAGGTGAGTACACACTAGAAATTGAAGGGACGACGACGTTTCGGTCCGTCCTGGACCATTCTCTAGACAATCGACTTGAGAATGGTCCAGGACGGACCGAAACGTCGTCGTCCCTTCAATTTCTAGTGTGTGGTCTGGTCAACATACTTCAGCCACGTTATTGTGACTCATCGCCTGCATCAATGACATACATCAAAATATTAAGACTAACATCTACAGTGAAGTAGAAAGTGACAACGTTATTGTAGCCTTACAACGGGATCTACGCTACATGATCTCCACAAATGGTCGGAAGGCTGGTACACGCTTTTTAATATTGTAAAATGCAAGACCTTACATCTTCTTGAGGTTATCTTGAGATGATTTCGGGGCTTTTTAGTGTCCCCGCGGCCCGGTCCTCGACCAGGCCTCCACCCCCCAGGAAGCAGCCCGTGACAGCTGACTAACACCAAGGTACCTATTTTACTGCTAGGTAACAGGGGCATAGGGTGAAAGAAACTCTGCCCATTGTTTCTCGCCGGCGCCTGGGATCGAACCCAGGACCACAAGTCCAGCGTGCTCTCGGCTCGGCCGACCGGTTCCCTACATGTGGGGACTAATAGTGTACTTCACAACTCCTAGATCAGTAGCATTACCTTGCTGCAGATTCGTGAAGAGAAGGTGATTGGTCAGAATTCATCAATCACTAAAGGTTGCACAACAAGCAGGAGCGGCAGTAAAGCAAAAAAATAACTAACCAAACTCTAGGAAGTCGAACAAACCTTTGACTTAAAGCCTTCGGTTTCAACCCTTTTACCCTGTCGTAGCTCAGTCGATTACGGCAGTGTCTGGGATGCTCCCGGACGCAGGTTCGAATCCTCGTCACGGCCCTTGTGGATTTGTTCATTTGATGCATCACGTTAGTGTGATCTGTGTGTAAACCTTTGACTTGAAGGAAAAGGTGGTGGTTGTGCAACTGTATAAATCTCAGATGCGGCCCCACTTGGATAATTATAGCAAGGCGTGAAGACCATCTACAGAAAGACAGCAACTTTGGAGATAGTGCAACACCGGACAATAAAAATCATTCCAGAACTAAGTCGACTCTCACACCAGGAACGGTTGAGGGCCACAGAACTAACAACAGTTTAAGATAAAAACGAAGCTACACCTAATAAATTCCCTGTAACCTACCTTACCCCTCAATTGTCAACCCATGTCTGTTTTTTTTAAACGACGCTGTTTGTCGACCTAATTGTATTTGTGCTGCTTTTTCAGCCATGTTCCCCCCATTTTATCTCTATTTTTATTTGTTCTTAACACATTTTATTCTTTATGCTCAATTAGTATTAAGCTCTAGTCATTTAAGTTTTTCATGCCCGAAACGCTTTGCGTAATAGTGGCTTTAGGCATTGTATGTACTAGCCCTATCTATAAATCCATCATTCTTTGTAAAATCTCTTGTATGTATGTACCTTACCTAAATAAACATTTATTTATTTATAACACTACACTCCTGGCATGACACGGCGGCTCTCACCGAAACTCTTAAAATACTGAACAATTTGGAGGCTGTTGACCCAGACAACTGCTTCACAAGATCACCTGTAACACAAACAAGAATCAGCGGTTTCAAGCTCGACAAGGCACAGTGTAGGACTGAAAATTGGAGAGACTTTTTTCCCCCCACAGTAATAAACCCTTGGAACCGCCTACCCGCCGAATACTTATATGCCACAACACTGTTAAATTTCAAGATCGAGTTTTCATAAAATTATCAGGACAGATGGGGGTGTGTGTGACCTTTGACAAGCCTCCGGCTTCCTGTTCTCGTCGAGGCCACTAGTGTGATACAGTGGCCCTCAGCTAAATTCCTTTTCCCCGATTGGTTAATTACTGGAAACCTGTATCTAACGAGGAAAATACAGCTAATGTTGATTTGATTTACAGAACAGTATTCGAAGTTGTTTAATTTTGCATTGTTTTTTGTGCTCGTTTCCCTTTAATTAATTTTTATCACGAAACACATTTTTGTGAAAAAAAAACATTTTTTTGTAATCTGGTTTCACTTGCATTCCTCTTGTCCCTCAGTCCATGATGTGGTGACTGTTACATCCCGCGTGTTCATACTAGTCCAGCACTTCACACTTCACTGTTATCACTTTACTCTCTTCATTTAAAAAAAAGTCTCCTACATATATATCACACTTTCAACTGATCAGCTTAAATCTCTCAATGTCAGAACTTTCTATATGTACACTATTTGCATGTCATTAAATCTACTCCCGCTCTGATCTCATATTTTTCAAACTGTCCTCTCAAATACATCTTATGATGGTGGCAATATCTCCAAGATCAAAACAGCCAGGCTTTCTGTGCGTGGTCAGTTAGGTTCCTGTGATTATTGTTTTAGATTCAGCTACTCGGAGCAAAACGTTCCAAGCAGCACAGACTATGGTGAACCCATAAGTGGAGCTCTTTGGAGCCATTATCTGTATCAGTAGCTGATACTGGAGATCTGTGGATGGATGGGGTCTTCATGATGGATTTCAGCCTCTGAGGGCTGGCTGGACAGTGCTGGTTGATACCTGGTTGATGGGGTTCTGGGAGTTCTTCTACTCCCCAAGCCCGGCCCGAGGCCAGGCTCGACTTGTGAGAGTTTGGTCCACCAGGCTGTTGCTTGGAGCGGCCCGCAGGCCCACATATACCTGGTTGATGGGGTTCTGGGAGTTCTTCTACTCCCCAAGCCCGGCCTGAGGCCAGACTTGACTTGTGAGAGTTTGGTCCACCAGGCTGTTGCTTGGCGCGGCCCGCAGGCCCACATATACCTGGTTGATGGGGTTCTGGGAGTTCTTCTACTCCCCAAGCCCGGCCTGAGGCCAGACTTGACTTGTGAGAGTTTGGTCCACCAGGCTGTTGCTTGGAGCGGCCCGCAGGCCAACATACCCACCACAGCCCGGTTGGTCCGGCACTCCTTGGAGGAAACAATCTAGTGTCCTCTTTAAGATGTCCACGATTGTTCCTGCAATATTTCTGATACTCGCTGGTAGGACGTTGAACAACCGTAGACCTCTGATGTTCATACAGTGTTCTCTGATTGAGCCCATGGGGCCTCGTAACCTGGTGGATAGCGCGCAGGACTCGTAATTCTGCGGCGCGGGTTCGATTCCCGCACGAGGCAGAAACAAATGGGCCAAGTTTCTTTCACCCTATGCCCCTGTTACCTAGCAGTAAAATAGGTACCTGGGTGTTAGTCAGCTGTCACGGGCTGCTTCCTGGGGGTGGAGGCCTGGTCGAGGACCGGGCCGCGGGGACACTAAAAGCCCCGAAATCATCTCAAGATAACCTCAAGATGGTCTGCGCATTTTACTACCCGTTTTGGTCCTTTGTGGCCAGTGAGGAGGCCCGGCTGTATTCTCACCCGGACCTCCTTCAGGACCAACCATCATAGTCCGCGTGTTCAAGAACCATGCTGACACCACACACTTCTC